ATAACCTCTACCCGACGATCTCGCCATGCGGGTGGCGTGAAAACCATGAGTTGTAATCAAAGTACACCTAGTAACCCTGTCCATCTGTACAATTTTCATTATCCCTGTAAATGTACTGGCCCGATGAAGGGTTGCTGAAGGCAGGTTTTTGTAAAATCGATTATTTAACTTAAATATGACAATATTTTTAGAATTCTTGTAGGGCAAAGCTATCACGAAACAGTACATAATTATGAATGGTAGGGCGCTCACCGATCTGGTTATGCAACATGTTCGTCCAGTTTTGTCTTGGAGCTCACTCTGAACAAAAAACACTGAACCTGTGGTATGATTGTAGTGTCAAATTCAAAGACTCAGGGTCCCGGGTTCGAATCTCGGGGGTCACCACCCCTAGCTTTGGGTATGACTGGCTGATGAAAGTCGATAAACCAGGAATAGCCATTTTGGCTTCCCTTACCTTTAACGGTTCCACTTTATGATGCATTAAAAGTCGCTATGCGACTGCCTGCGAGGGCCCTAAACTGAGCTCGAATGCAAACCGAGACAAGCATACTCCGTGACCGGATCCATGAGCGCGATACCATTAATTCTACTAATTTCCCTGTAATGCGGGCAGTACCATTTGAGAAGGGGGAGGAGGCGTACATAAAAGTTGTTCTTAACTTTTTTCTCCTTTTACGCAAAAGCTGTCGAAATCGAGCTTGGATTTCCAATTGACTGCGGAGTTCCTGCTGTTCAGCGAGAATACAAAGGGAAATCTGTGAGAATGAAGACGCGCGCAGCACCCCACAGCTGGCCCTGGCATGTAAGCAACTACCTGGTATTCCTTTCGTGATGTTGTAATAAAAATAATGAACAATTAAATGACAACTATTTTAAGGGATGCAATGTGCAAAACAATCCTTTTATTTATCTGCATCCTTTGGCGTCGCCAATAATTCGAGGCACCACTCCCAAACTAAATTACACCTGTGATTCTACTACTTGGAATAAGTGCGTAGTCGCGTATGTTTACCATTTTAGACTAACCTGCAGCTACTCAGTTTTCGTCTGCAATTATGTTAACGGTCGTTTTTCATTTTTCTGCCATATTGACACATTTTTTAGCCATTGTGTTACCAATAGGGAGGTCAAAGACGTTTGCTTACCCTCTCTTAATAAAACTGAACTGAAATTACCACTTCAGCTGGGTAGTTAGAAACATAATGATTGCGAGATAATATTAAACAAGGCTTACTGACAATCCACGCGACGTCAATCTGTAAAGTTAGAATATGAGGCCAGCGACAGTTCAAACATCGCATCCGATGATTTACACCATGTACCTCATAGCGTCTCGACTTACGAGACCTCCACCTCACTCCCTCCTCCCTCATCTACCTGTACCCGGTATCTCGACAGATTCGAGAAGGCCAGAGGCAAGATACACACCGCAAGTGCAGGTGATACACACACCGTATTGTAGCTTGCTGTGCCTTAATTGGGCAGAGCATAGACGCAGGTGGCTGGCGTGGCGTGAGCCTGCACCTACACGTAACACCAACGCCTCCCTTGTTTGGCATTTATTATGGGAGCGCAACCCAAATGACGCATGTCCTTCTCTGATATAACCCATTTTTGTCCAGTGCATTTATCATGCGGCCTGTTTACGGGGCAAAAAATGGCCATATCGCAGCTTGACCGTCGGTTTCGACGAAGTCTGCGATGTACGCCATGGTAGGGACGCGGATTTTCGCATGGGTTATGAGAGTAGACATTTAATAAATCTACCGTACTCTCCGTTTCTCTCCTCCCCCCTATCCGGACCCAAAGTAAAGACATAGTCAAGAAGACTGGAGATGAGGGAGGACGTAGGCCCATGGACTGTGGGCCACCACAACCAAGGGAACGACAGAAAGGTTGGGGGGACGGCTCGGATCCCAGCTGAGTGGGAATGCCATAAAGTTCACAGTAGGAAGGAGCCATTGCAGCCGGACTCCCAGTTCGCCAGTCAGCTACTCCAATCCAGACAACACAGACCGGATTGGCCGCGCGGGCCAGGTGTTCCTGTCGGTTTGGCGACCTTTGAAGCCACACCCCTTAGCTTCCCATGACAGTTCGTTAGACATCATGGCAGACCTTGTGTTGTACTCAAAATGAAAGCAGTATAACTGGGCCAAAACTGAATAGCCACTTTTCGCTAATACCGGCATTCCTCGTGAAGCCAGCTAACTTGCCTAGTGTGAATTACGTGCCAAAAATAAAGTGGCAGATTTTAAGGGTGAAGTGGGCAATTAGGGAGACGTATCTTTGGTATCAAAAAAGAAGACTAGTTTGTAGGAGGGTATATATAAAATAAACAGCAGGTGAAATCCGACTGACGCAAACATAAGGACCACCTTTTTATACCGATAAATTTCTTTGTGGAAGAATAATGTTTTTTGTGTGAATTTTTGAGTCTGGTTCCCCGGCTCGTCGTCAGACAAATGAGAGTTTTGAGAAGAAGGTTCATCGAACACCGGAATCATTATTTATATTGGTCTGAGCTTTCGGGCTCCTGCAGGAGTCCATCGTCAGAGATGGGAAAACAGCAACAAATGAGGTGGCTAGTTCTGGCGTGTGCACAAAACAATTAAAATTAAAATTACAATTACAATTAAAATTTGAACGTGTAGAAAATCAATAATTGTGTTGTTTGGCCTTTGACTCGCTACTGCGGACTATGTCAGTATGTGCTAGTGGGCGAGATCGTTGACGATTTTAT